AGATGTCAGGAAGATGACATTCTTTTACTGTACCATGCTGTAATAACCAGTATGAAAGTGTTAGTAAGTACACTGAGAGCAGGAAGACTTGCGTTTAAACTGAGCATATGACTAGCAGTAGTGCTGTCGATAGACAAGTTCTGGGATAAAGGGAAGAGAATACCTTGGTATGACAGACATCAGGGTGAAAAGGAGCAAACATTTTCTGGGTTGAATAAAAACGTGTCTAGAGCTCCCTAAATTTGAGTTTGCTATCTCAGTCATCAAAAACCTGATGCTTAACTTGAGCTTGGGTTTCAAACTCCCATCTTAATTTGCAAGATAACTGTATGCTCACTGCATTTCATAAGTTTGGTTGTGGTACAGTAGAAAGAGAAACCTCCACAGTATTAGTAGCCTTTAATGTTGTTTTGTTACACGCAGTAATGGAATGTGTAGAAAGGAGTAGTGGTGGGCACTAGGTTTCATTCTGTGGTTGTCTACCTGAATGCCAGGACTTGGACATCTGGGAAGAAGTGTGTAGCAATGAAGGAGGCCAAAGTTAATTTTTGAATAAGTGGTGGTTTTCTTTAACAGGGAGATGGGGACAGTAAAAATCTGAATGGCCCAATACAAACATACTCACTTTCCAAAAAATGCTGTAGAAAGCACTGTAACCTTGTGGGGGCGTCAAGGTCTTGAATTAAAATTACACTCCTCTGTAACCTACCTAATCTAAGAGCACACTCTCTGCTGATAGGGGATAGCGCTGCCTGACTAAAACCTTTTGCAATTTACAGTAGTGTTTAGGTAGAGATTGCGTGTGAATCTAGAGATCTGACTTCCATGGGATGTTACCTCTCTTGATCTCTTCCTGCCCTTAAGTGCCTATGCCTGTAAATCTTTACCAGGGCACCAAGACCTGGAAGGTGTCTTGTTTTCTGCACAGCTATTACAATAATCCCTGCACAGTCAACTTCCAATATAGTTGGAATGGAAAAGGATTAATCTTGGCACATGGGAGTGCCATTGATTTTTATGATCTTTTTAATATTTAGAACTCTGCAAGTCTTGTGTAATTTATTTTGGGATCTTTTAAAAGCGAAAACTATTGCAATGTATTTTCTCTGAATTGTTAAACTTTCAAATAAAGTTTGTAAAGTACCAGTCTGTGCATTTCTGCTGCTGTTGCTGTATGCGCGTTGCTCCACTGGCTGCTGCTGCGTGCCCCTATTGTTTTCACTGTGCACTTGGGTTGATGTTTTACCTCCAACTGTGTTCCTGAGCTGATAGTAAGACGGTAACTCTTGAATATGTAGGGTGTGAAATGTCTTCAGTATGCGTTCAGTGTTGTCCCATCGGGAGGGAATAGTGTTCTTGACCAAAGCCTCGTGCTGTTGAAAGAGGTGTTGAGCTTTTCATTTCAGTCTTGGCTTCTGGGGTTTTATTCACAAAAGAGATCCTGTCAAGCAGTCTAGAACAAAAAGCCATGCCGCTGCCTCCAATATGCCTGGCTTTGTGTGAGTACAGCAAGTTTCACGTGTGCCTTTGCTCGTTGGTTACAACACTCACACTGACCAGTTACCAAACCAGTGAAGTTCGGGTGAAAGACTCAAAAGACTTAATTGTGGCGACTGTTCAGAATAATGTCCCAGAGAAGAACAATGTGCTTAAGTATGTTACTGATGGATAATTCTCGTAAACCTTTTGTTGGAGGGATGCAGAATTTGGAGTTTGAACTCACTGGGCCCACAGAGCTCTCTGTGCTAGGTAGTGCTGCAGGCATGCAGAGGCCTGGGTCAAACTGGCCTGCTGTCTGCCGGGAAGAGAACGGGAGTCGTTCCCGAGGCTATCCTATTTACTCTCGGTGTATCCCCTTACCTTGGTTATTGTTGCTGTCTGTGAAACTTTGGCAGAAAGAACTAGGATGTATGGATTCCTTTCCAGGTCCACTGAAAAAGCCTTTAGGGACTCCCAGGAAATACAATCCTTACGCTGTTTTATGAGGATAGAAGAACCTGCTAGCTGCTCTGAAGACATGGGAATCCCGTGTCGTCATCCTATCAAGCAGAGTCCTTGCTGTAAGTCTAAAACCAAGAGTACAAGACTGAAACAAACAATCCATGTTTGATAAATATTATCTCAATCTCACTTTTTTTTGTTTTCTCTCTGTTCTGCTGACAAATGCATGGGATTTCATAGCAGAAACTTCAGTTTTAAATCGTAAATGCTGGAGGTAAGCTGTGTGGCATGAATAGAAAAGCTCTGATATGACTTCTTGAAGCAGACTAGTCTTCAGCGTAGTTGTAAAGCCAGCTATTAGGTGTTCACACTAGTTGAATTAAACCATCCTTTGGGTTCATCTGAAGTCAGAATGCCCTGGACTCTTGCAAGCTTTGCAGCATCTGTTTATGGTAGGTTTGTCAGGGAATTAATTGCTTTCCCCACATGAACTTCTCAGGGCAAAAAAAGAAGGTTTCATTCATTCCGCAGGCGGCACTAAGACCTGCAAAGAGCAAAGTATCCGTGTTTAGCTCGAGGTTATTAGGGGAGGATTTTCAGGCATGGTTGGTGGTCTGGTGCTGCATCAGTTCCTCTGGTGCTTCCTTCTGACATCTCCTGCTGTGGTTCTTTGCCTGGTAGAGAGAGCACTGGCATCAGGTGCTGAATGTTGCCCCATTTTCAGAAGTGTGTAAAGCACACTGGCTTTTGCTTGCAAGTGGCCT